GACGGGGCGGGGACGCGCGGCGAGGAAAGGCCCACCCCCTATCTGGGAGAAGAAACCCCTCCCCCGGCTCTGGGTCCGAGAGTCAAGCACTTAAAAATAAGGAGGGGGTGGGTTCTAGCCCTTTCGCTCTGAGGCCGGAGGTATCGCGAAGGCTGTTCTGGGAGCACCCCTGCCATTGTTAGAGGGTCGGAGGCAGGGGCCCCCGGCTTTGCGGGCTCCCCGGGTTCCAGCAGCCTGGACGCGTGCACGTTTGTAACTGCCTCCCGGCCCTCCGGGGGCCTGCGGTGCTTAACTTCCAGGGCTGCAAGTCGGGAATAAGCTCGAGGCTGCAATTCCAACACCCCCGTCCCTGCACCTCAGACGACACTCTTTTCTGATCAAAAACGCGAAGCCGCCTTTCATCAAATTCAGAGTTGGAGAAATCAGCAAAGAATTAGAGCTCACTGAAGTTTTTGAGCAAGGTCCCAACCTTGGTGGAAAATTGATACAGAGATGCGTGTGAACTTTCAAAAGTTTGCGAAAAGACATAAACAGACGTTTCCTGAAAAGGATATGCACATGGCACATAAGCACATGAAAATATGTTCAATATTATTAGTCACTGAGGAAATGAAAAAACCACATACCTATCAAAATGGCTAAAAAAGAAAAAGTGATAATATGAAATGCTGGTGAAGATGCAGAGAAACTGGCTCAGTCATGCATTAGTAGGAATGTGAATGGTACAGCCACTCTGGAAAAGTTTGGCTGTTTCTTTTTTAAAAATTTAATAAATTAATAAACATGCATCTGCCATACAAGTAATTGTGTTCCTGAACATAATCCCAGAGAAATGAAAACCTGTGTACACACAAAACTAGCACATGAATGTTAATAGTGGCTTTATTCATAATAGACAAAAACTGGAAACAACCCAAATGTTTTTGAACAGATGAATATTTAAGCTATATGTAGTACATCCATACCATGGAATACTACTCAGCAATAAAAACAAATGAATTATCAACACACAAAACTACTTAGGTGGATTGCAGGGCATTATGCTGAGTAACAACTGTATGATTCCATTTATAAGACACTTAAAATAACAAATTTATTGAGATAGAAAACAGATTAGCAGTTGCCAATGGTTAGGTATGGGGAGGAGGAATGGGTGTAGCTACAGATGGATAACAGGGAGGAGCCTTGTGTTTATGGAAAATTTCTGTATCTTGATTGTGGTAATAGTTACATAAAATTGCATAACATTATACACACACACACACACACACACACACAAATGAGTGCATATAAAATTGGTGAAACCCGAAAAAGCTCCATGGATGATACCCATGTCTTTATTTCCTGGTTTTGATACCGCACTATAGTTACGCAAGGTGTTATCATTGGGGGAAACCGGGTTAAAGATACATAGGACCTCCCTGTAAATTTTTTTGCAAATTTCTATGAATCTATAGTTATTTTGAAATAAGTTTTTAAAGGGTCTGCTAACTTGGGGCCTAGTAGGGGGTGCCCTGGACCATGAGATGAGCCTGAGAATTAAGAGATTCTACATGATGCTTTAATATCCCTGCACATGGTACTTGGTAAAATATTCAAGAAGGAAAAGTATCTGTATGTGATACCCTATCAAAATAGATTAAAATATCAATTTCTCTGTGGTCCCCGGTAAAATATTAGAGAGAGAGAGATAATAAGGGATTTTCAAGCACCTTCCTCTGGCTCTAAGTATTGAAAATGACCGAGCACTTCGGCACCTGAAGAGGAGTCCCACATGCCATGTCCGTCAGTGTTTGCTGAGCCCAGATTTTCACTTGACTGATTCTTGTCATTTAGGTTTCTATCCAAATATCACCTAACCATAAAGGTCTTTCCTGACCACTCAGTCTCAAGCAGCCAGCAGTCACACTGTTATCAGACATACCACCAGAGAAGTAGATTAATATACCAGGAATGACTCAAGGAGAGACTATTCAGCAGGTACCAAACAAAAAACAAACAAATGACAAAACCAGAGGTTGTGGGGCAAAGTTGCAGCCCCAGGAGCAGAGGCAGAGGAACCTTGGCTGGGTACCACTACAGCGCTGGGAGGGAAATGATGCATATGGAAGGCAAGACCCTGGATCCAGAATTCAGGTCCTGTGGGCAGGACTGAGGCGAATCCAGGAGGCCAATAAAATCTCAAAAGAGCACCTCTGAAGGATCCTTCAAAATATAAGTCAGATCGTGTCACTTCAGTGCTCCAAAGTTGCCCACATCACCATAGTAACAGCCACAGCCCTTGCAATGGTAGATAAGGCCCTACCTAATCGGCCTTCCCCTCTACCCTGCCCTTATCTAGAATGCTCTTTCCTCAAATATTTGCATGACTCACTCCCTGTGTCTTTGCTCCACTGTCTTTTTTCGGCCTTTCGCTGAACAGCCTGGTTAAAATTGATACCTGCTCTCTCCCCACCCCTCAGCCCTACTATCACCTTCTCTGCTTTATCGTTCCTGAGAGCACTTACCACCTAACATGCTATGTTTTTTACTTATTTATTTCTTGTCCATCCATCTATCCTTACTGTAAGGTATATAATGTAAGCTACTCAAGGAGAAATTAATTTCTTATATTATATACATTATATACATGTAGCTTACATTATATACATGTTTTAATAATACTAAAACAATAATATTGTTTTATTCATGGTTCTATCCTGTGTGCCTAGAACAGGTTAAGCACTCACATATTTGTGGAATGCAGGAAAAGCATACCTCCCAGGTATTGGATTATTGTCAATCAGTGCCAAACCGAACCTTCTATATTCTGCTCTATCATGCTGGGCAAACTACATTCATCTTCCACAGCTAGCTCCTAGTTGGTCTCTGCCAAGGTGGGGGAGGTAGAGGAGCTGGAAGAAAAAGAAGGGACTTGCTCATTTCTGCTTGTTCCTTATGGGGCTTCCTTCTACTTTCTTTTCTTGTGAGCATCACCCCAGCAAACCTTCTTCACCCAGACATCAGCAGCTTTTAAGCAGCACCTGAATCTGACTTACATTTCCCCCAACTTGCACAATTAGCAACATTGCACCATCTCAGAGACAGCAGAACCAACCTCATCATCTCCCCTGATAGAGATACTCAACCAAGCAGCCCCCTCCTTAGAGGTCTGAGTTTCAGCCCCCGGGCTCCTCTTCTAAGTTTCCAAGTCTGTCTCTTTGCTCATTCAACCCTTAGAGTTATATTCACTTCCTGCAATAACTACCTGGGCGAAGCATTACAGCTCTCTTTTTCACTCTTTCACTACCTGGCAACTTTATACCTTGTTAAACAGTTCTCTCATACATATCTCTTCCTATGGAACTGTTAAACAGTTCTCTCTTTCTCTTTCAAGATCTACAATTGAGTATGAGTAGTATGAGTGAGGGGAGATGATGGGCTGAGAGAGGAAAGCAGCAACGTCAACAAGAGTAAATGCAAATTGTGGGTGAAGATGGAAGCCAGACTCAGGGCCAGAGATCAAGTTAAATGTCAGGACTGGCAGCAACTGCCAGTCTATAAATAGGTAATGAGTCCAAGGATCAAGGGCCGGGATAATCAAGAACAGGTCTGGCAGTGAAGTGTGAGGTGGACACAATGAAGGATTCGGGAGATAGGCTACCCATATGAAGTGCTGGGGGCCTGTCTTCATGGTCCTATGGTGCGGGCGCAGTGGGGTTGGGCTGCTCATTACAGGCTGAATCCACTGATACCAGCCCCTTCCTTGTTTCTTCAGTCCACCTCCCAATTCCTTAGCCGCTCTTGATTTAGACGGAATTTGAAAGTCCTCCCAAATATGAATTCTCTGCCTATCTTAACTTTTGAGTATTGACCACCATCTCAATTTCCTGCTTCTATTCTCTTTCCTCCTTTGGTGAGCCATTGACTGAACTGGAGGCTGTATGGCTGTGTGTGTGTGTGTGTGTGTGTGTGTGTGTGTGTGTGTGTGTGTGTGTGTGTGTGTCTGCTTCTGTGAAGGCTTTCCACTGAGGCTGGGCATCTCAGTGGGTACTTCTAAGGCCAACCCCATCTGTTAATGCAAATAATCTGAAACATGTAGACAGGAGGCACTGACTAGTGTGAAAGTTGACATAAGTGTAGTCAGTTT